TCAAACTTATACAAATTTAGGAAAATTACGTGGTCTATGGCGACCACTGTATGTCAGCGGATCCGGAAAGCTGGACTCAATCTCGCTTCCAATGACGAATGTCGCATACATAAGATCCAATAATCACCTTCATGCCTTGCTGAAGTGTGATGAGGCAGGTTTTGTATCCATCTCCTTTTCGGTGCCTCTGTGTGGGTAGCAGCGCCAGATGGAGTGCAGCATCAGGAAACTCATAAGGCAATCGGCACTGGACGTGGCCAAACCACCTGACTTGTCTTTCTTGTGTGTTTTGAGATATTTTCGTTATGATGTTGCAGCAAGTGCTGGCTGTCTCCTCCAAAACGAAGTGCCAATCAAAGGTTGATTTTAAGAAAACGATGGTCAACAAGTTATAGTTTCTACCTGCTTTCTATATGCATAGCCCAGCATTCACACCAACAACTGGCCGGACGAATACGCTGTACACGCAGAGCTTAGTGCCAACAGAGATATCGCGTCGAGATCCATAGGCAGTCACATTGTCTGGATAATAGTTGGAAAGGTAGAATTTCTCACAAGTTGACAGTCATCAATTTAAGGAGGGGGGGGTCTTTTCGGGTCAGAAATGCAGTTCGAAAGCCCTTTAGTTCGGTTAGTGTGTACGGATAAACCTAAGGATTTCGTCCCAGGTCTGCCGAGAAACCGCATTCTACAGGTCAGCACCACGGTGTCAGTCAATCAGTCGGCTTTGCGCGGCAATTTTAATGAAACAGCTCAAGGGCAGAAGGATGACGAGTATCTGTCCTCGTGGCGTCGACATAAGATCTGTAAATTTCAGTAGGAATGCCGTATTTCGCGGGCGCTGCGCAGTTGCGACGTATCAATTGGGTTCGCATAATGTGTGCATAAGAGAACAGGAGTCCGGAGGCCTGGTCCCCGATGTTAAGTGGGTATTCGAAATGCTCACGCTAGCGCTACAACTTGAGGGAGTTTGCAGCAATTAAATCGCTATTTATGCCACAAACAAACTCACGCAGTGCAGAGGGCTTACCAGTAACTCTATGAATAACTCGGTTAAATTTACGAGTTTCACCAATGTTTAAGAGTAGTTACTTCAAGTGAACGGTCCCCGTGGTCCTCTTCAGCCAATTATTTTGTCCTTTTGTAAAGTCCACGAAAAGAATCTACAATTAAGTACATGTAGTCTGGTGCGGGGTGAATCCAACAAGTTTCACACTTACTTCGCGATTTGTGGACCCAAACGAGGACCATTTGCTATTGCCTTCTCTGCGGACTCTGCCGGCAAAGCGTAGCCGGATTTCCGTGCTCATGGCCTCGGGTGTACCGATTTTGTCTTAATTTTTCGAGCCGAGACATTTTATATGAGACGATAGGGAGGCGCAGATGAGTGTGCAAACTAGAAAACACACGGCAGCATCGGCTGAAATATTTGAACCAGATAGGTTGTTGGTGAGGTTTCCGGCATTTTTCAGTACATAAGGGTTCTCCAACAGTCACATAGATTGCTGCTAGTCCTCCGGCATTTTGACTCGCGACGCTGCTTACAAGGCAACGCTGGCAATCAGGCCGTTACTACGATTTGCAGAATTTCGTACGACGGTCGACGTGCAAGTTGCCGGACCTCCGGTCCGGCAACAGCTCAATAATCACGCCCAAAAGTCCGCCGATCTCACGGCCTGCCGTAGCTGAAAGACGTTAAATACCTCCGAACTGGCTGAGAAAACAACAACTTGGCTCGGCTGAGGAGATGAGAGGAAGCTTACCTTGGACAGATGAATTATCGTGGCCAGTCAAAGCTGGTTCTTCGAAGACAACTTGATCAAAAAGAGCCTCCACGTGGAACTCCATGCGCTCGGCAAGAGGCCGATCAACCTTAACCAGGCCGTGCTCCGTCTGAGAAAACAAACAAACTGGAGGCTCCACGTACATAGACAGGTCTGCCTAAAGAGGAATTCAAAATACTGGATTCAGCACACTGCACAGGGTGGAAGGTGATCCGATTCTTCTTATTAGTTGGAAGCATTAAAATACAGGGCATGGAAAGACTGATGTGGCAGTCTGCCCAAACTTCATGACACTTCAAACTCTCGATTCTCGTCGAACTCAAGGTAAGACAGAAGACGTTGCACCTATCGTTAGGCCGGTTAAATAGAGCGCCTCTTCACTACAGTGGTCGATTTGGGCACAAATACGAGAAGTGTAATTAGATTGCACAATACGTGTTACTTAGTAGGCTGTTTGTGTAGGCTGATTGTGTTACGTTAAATTCAGATGTGCTGCCGTCAGACCAAGGGAATTGGAAAGGCCACTTCAGACTTATTTGCCATGGTGAAAATAATTAAGATCTGGGCGCCGGTTGGCGGGTCATTGAACATCTTTAAGGCAGGCGTCGTTATCACAGCTGAGGGTTCACGTCCTGTCAATTACGAGAAGGCA